CGTATCCCCAAACATATTCATTTTCCAGAAGCCATTTCTCTTCAAGATCTTCGACCGGAGGTGTTTGAACCCGGCACAGATACTGCATCCGTTTCTTGATTGGCGCTCCGGACGGATGGCGGTAAGTTGTCACAGGCGTCTCGCTGATTAAACCCATATCGAGGCGTCTCTTGGCCATTTTTTCTTTTTGGAAAGATGACTTGATGATTGGAAATGACTGGCTTTTTATCTGCACGGGGTTCTTTTTTTTTTATCTCACTCCACCCCTTCGGTCTTCTGACATCACATAATTGAGGCGGGCCCTTCTGTCACTTTTATGCATACTAATGTGATGGAAGCGGCATTTTGTTTTAATAGACTTGGGGGCGGGCCCACCTGTCACTTTTTATGCATACTAATGTGATTGAAACATTTTTTATTATACACCATAAGGCGCAACAGTGGGGGCTTTTCACACCTGTGAATACACATCACCCCCCTCCTATCGACGGATCTCACACCTACTTGGGATATCACACCTACTTGAGATCTCACACCTCGAACAAAGGGGAGGCGGGACTTAGCTCATTAGCATAAGTAGGGAGAGGTGTGACCTGTCAAAGCACCTGTCACTTTCTATGCATACTAATGTGATGGAAGCGGGATGAATAATACTACTAATGTGTAATTAAATCAATGCAAATGGTTGAGCTTTACTTGTGCTCCTCAGCTATGTGGCTCAGAGGAGTTTTGGGAGCAGGCGGTGGATCGTCGCTGCAACACAGTGTCCCCTGGTGTAGCATCTCTGGCTCTGGAGGTGGGCTGGCGCAGCATCTTCTTCACCAGCAAGCTGCAGCTGCAGAAACTGATCAGCCGCAGGAGGCTGAAGGCAGAGGAGCCACCAGAAGGACAGCTCTCTGACCCAGATATAAAGGCAGAGGAGTCTCTGGGTGACAACTCAGAGATAGACCAGGCATCTGGATCTGAGAAGGAATCTCCCCCTGGCATTATCCCAAAACTAAGCCTTGGCACTGATCCTGGAGCTGGCTTTGACCACAGCTCCTACTGTGATGTTGACCCTGAGTCAGATCTAGAGGCTGGCTCTGACTCCAGCGTGCCTGCACTTTGCCAACTGTTTGAGGAAACAGGAAAACCCTGTGTGGAAACAACTGAGCAGGACAGTGCACCGAATAACAGCAGAGGAGACTTCAGTGCAGAGCCAGATAAGCCATGAACCTCCTCAGTCGGTTGTGTATTGATGAATTCAATATATTATTATTCTTAATATTTGTCAAATATAAATGTTTTTTAAATATTTGATATGATTATTAAGATCCTCTCAGGATATTTGGGGACATACCCATGTGCCATGATTCTTCAGGACTATTGTAGATGATACTCATTATTCATTGTAATAACATTGTATGTAGTAAATGTCATATAAAGGTAATATTCTAAATGCCATTTCGTTGTCATTCGCGTTTCATTCATGAATTCATTTGAAGTAAAAACCTCATATTTTTGGCAACTATCCGATGACACTTGACACAAACATGATAAAAAGGATTATCTTTTTTAAATTATGGATGGTTTTTCACTTATCAATAAGATACTTCACTATATTTGGGTGGCTAAATACTTGATCATTGGTATCTGGCATACTTCTTGAGTGAGTTTTTTGGGAACCTAACTTGGCAGTTTCTTCCTCGCTGCGGGGACATTCTACAGATGGCCAGTCCGCCCCTGAAAAATGTCTATGCAGACGTTATTATTAATAATAATATACAAATAAGAGTGTCTTTCCATCTGCACTTTGCTTCATGTTGGTATGCTTTAAGTGTCTGCGAATATTTTAAGCATTTTTAAAATTGTATTTGAGAGTCTCAAAATGAATAGTATTTTCTGAAATGCTAGATAAAGATTGATGAAGACCGACACAACTGGACTCTGAAAGTTCCACTAGAAATATCTCTGAATTTGTAACTGCACTTTGTAACTGAAACCTAAACGGTTTTAGGTAAAATACTGAGCTTGAGAGTCAGTTTGAGCAGGGATTTGCCAGATGTGAGTTGCAGCCACCTGTGCTACTGCCTCCTCTCTTTAAAGGGAAATTTCACTTTTAATTCTGATTGCATGTAGTCTGTGCTGGTGTCTCTCAAGATGCTTTCACCTCTAGCCTTGTGTCCAGAGAGCACATCAAAGGGCTTCCTATCCCTCTGAAATATATCCCCCGAGAGGGAAGCAGTTCACTGCTCTTTTGGAAAATGTTGGGTCCTGTCAGGAGGATGAATAATTCCAAAAGGCCATCGATTCTAGAAGTCATCTTCTTTTGCCTTTAGCCACAACCAAGAATTCAAATCTTCAAGCATTTAAGTGACTTCCTTTTCTGGCCTGTCGATACCTCCCTAAGTTCCCTTATTCTACGTCCACACACCTTTGCCTGATTTGAGACACAATGGTTGAAAAGCATAGTGGAATGGGACTTCTTCATCAGGTATTCTTCACAACATGTGTGAGTCGTTCTCTATGTGTCAACCTCACCAGCCATCTGATCCAAGTTACTGCCATATGGTAACCTGAAGGTGAGCTAATATCCCTGAGGGCCAGACAATTTGACCTCCGATCTCATAAAAGATCAACAAAGTCAATCACTGACCTTTGACTCACCATCCAGTGTCAGATCAGGTAAGCCAATCATTCAATCAGACACCCTGTTCCAGTGCTTTGCAGAATGAGGGTTGAATTATTCCAGTTTTTCTCTTCCGTCGGCAGGTATTGTTATCATCAGCATCTGAATGGCAAACAACAGTCAGCCAGCCTCCTTTTCTAAGAGTGAAAGTCCCATCAAGTAGATATTGTTATCTGCCAATCAACTCTCGTCCAAGTGGCACCCTGGGGGACTGAAATTTACCCTATATTTGAGGAGCTTTAAACGGTCATTCTTTATAAAAGCCAGCTTGGTGTGACTTGATTGGATGCAAAAATAAGTCAGTTTTCAGAGAACACTATGAAGATAAAATCCAATTTCTAACTTTATTTTATTAACTCAGTAAACATTTTCCCGACAATCGCTAGTTTAGAATAGGAGTAGTTGTATACCGGCTTCACAACCTGAACTGCTGTGGCTTGTTCGCTTGTTATGTCAGGTTTGCTGCTTTCTGTGTGTTTTTAGATGATGAAAGATCATTGTAACATTTGGTCTCCTAAAAATATCATGATTCATCATGTTTTCAAAATTCTCGTAAGATGGTTAAGGTTTGGAATTCACCTCGGTTGGTTTTGGTAACTGTTGTCCGGCAGCGAGTCTCACAAAGGTTTTCGGCAAGTTTGGCAAATTGAGGGTAATTAATCGAAGTTCAATGGTTTGAAACTGTTGTTGGTGACTCTCATTTTCTTAAAACATGCTCTTTCCCTGTACAACTCCGGAGATACCACCACCAAACTCAAATTATGATTAAGCTTATAGGCCTAGGCCAGCTTTGGTCAGCCATTCACCTAAGTTGATTGAGACAACAACGTAGATATGCACCCAGTGGCGGACTGGCCATCGGGACGTTCGGAACGAATCCCGATGGGCCGGTACTGAAGTGGGCCAGTCGGACAATGTGGGCCGGTCGGATAAGTCACTTTTTGTGAAAAACCTGAGAGGCCATAAGAGGATGTAGGGAAACCAGGCAAAGACATAGTGAACCATGTGGGTGATGGGATGATTGTGTGCTGCCCATCTGGCCTTTCCTCAGGCCAGGCTAATCCTCCCAAGGTTAAGGCCGCAGATTTCTCAAAGAGCAAACTCCTATTTCAGAAAAATAATACAGCTGCTCAATTTCTCAATTACTTTCTTATTATCCCTTGTCGGCACTGTGTTACCTAATCATATATTGCTTTTCACAACAGTTTGTGTAAGGCTGGTGGCCCTCATTGAAAGTGATATGGGTCATCAGGGATCCCATAGAGTGACGTATTAGCACCTATTTGACCCCTCTGCTCTAAGTGACCTGGTAAAAGGTGAAACCTATGACCTCATTCCATCGACTCAGGAGGCTAAAGTGCTTTACTTACCCTATGATCCATTTACAACATGATTGACATTTGACGGTTTTGATATTTATGGCATTGCTCTTAAACTGTCATGCACGTCTTTCTCTACTAAAATGTTGAACCTCGAATTATAGATTAGAAAGACATTAGTAAATAAGATGTTACTGAGATTGCGATCTATTCTGTCCTTCCTTGATGTAATTGGTAACCATTTGTGTTTTTCTCATGTTTAAATCCAAACAAAGACTGGGTCTGGAATCCTCTGCAAGGCAAGCAAAGCTCTTGATCTTGTGCTGGAGCTTGAGACCATTTGAGAAAGGATTAGCTAATATTATCCGAGGTTTACGTACTGAATTAGCCTACATCCACATTGCTGTGTCTGGTTGGAAGAAAGTGCCTCAACAGTGCAATACAAAAGTAATGCAATTATTTTTATGTAAGCAGTATTATACTAGAATTACAATATATTCAAAATACAGATTCATATTCAAAGCTAATTTAATGTTTACACTAAATTAGAAACAATTGTGTTTGCCTGAAATCTTCTGGCTTTCCTCATCGTGGTGTTTGTAATATTACTGTGTCAGGTGTATTACAAAGCTCCTCGCTTTATCCTTAGTTCTCTCACATGGTTAAAGTCATGTTTCTTAGGCTGTTCTAAGTGCTGACTAGACAAACAATGCTACACTGGTACCTGACCTTTGAAACATACGTTTGAGTAATGTAACAAAACATTTTCATTGGTACTAAATTCAGTTTTATTTTATATTTTTCATTTTATCGTATTTTCTTTTACAATGTTATGCTGTTTATTGGTTGAAAGAAACAGAATAAGAATACTTGATGGTAATTGCTCAGATCAGTGATGCGAAAATAAAATGTTCTTTTTCCTTAAAATCTGTACATTTTGCAACGCTACCTTAAAATATGGACTCTTCAAGTACACCAGATCCTAGGACAACCCGGTATCACGGCAAGACGTGAACATGTGGCGATTTACCATGCTTGGAGACGTGAGGATGTCACGATTTCGTCCCTTCAAAGGTGACAGTTACACGGTATTGTTAACCCATATTAACCAGTGGAGAAATAACCAGAAATGCCAAGCAAATGCGTCCCCGACGTAATGATTTATTTTTTAATAGTCACACTCGATTACGCCGATTTTCTTGTTGCCCCAGCTGGTCGACACCTCTTTTAGCAGAAACAAAGGCTACATTAATGTATTAAATCGATGTTAATCCATGCATGTGGATGTGGAACCGGAAACAGACGTAGGCAAGATCCTCAGCTCGATAATTGGATGGTTGCATGCTGGGATTTGGTGTTTATGTGATGTGAAATCTGAAAACGTTATTTAAAAATAAAATAATACTTTATTCCGAGTGTACTTGCTTTTCTCTTTGAAAGTCATCACATATGGTTAATACACGGTTCGGCTGCATTAAATATTACATATCTGCCGTAGTTCTCTATTTATAGAGCCCTGCTGAGAAGACTTCTAGACAAACAGGAGAACTGCCGCCAAAACTGAAAACGTGACGTGGATCATACATATATAAGCAATTAAACAACATCTTACATTTCTTTTCACACAATACGTCTCCTCGCAGTATCAACACTTATTCGGCTGACTTTTATATTTGATCCAATTGGTAGATAGCTGTATACACCATAACGGTGCAGAGCTGATAGAAAGGGACACCTGGTTAAAGCACGTTATTGAATTGTATTATTTTATTATTAGATATTAATAGGATCCCTATAAAGTATATTTATTACTCATTATTCTCTACTAATAGTTAATTAAAGACTGTAATGACTAGTTTGCACATCCCTTTCAAGATTTTCTAAGCTAAGGTTTATTGACATATCATATTTTACACAACTACGGTGTAGTTATGCAATGAATGAAAAACTTGGGTCGCAGGTTCCTCAACAGTGACATCTATCAATATGTGTGTATACCTCCACAATTAAACTGTCATTCTGCACATTTCTTATACTATCTACATACATCCTATGAGAGTATAATACATATGTATAATATCAGTTAAAATAAGTGCTTAAACATAGTTAACATTGCAGGAAAGCAATATATTAAGCACTTTGTCAGGCTTAATATTTATCTGTAGATACAAATGTCACTGTGTGTGCTGTGTGCTCTGCATGTGTGACCATTAAAGAGGGTTTCATCCCTCCATATTCTTCTTCTATACTCCCAAAGCTTTTTTCTTATTCAAAAGACAACCCAGTCTCACGGCATTTCCTGTTATAGTCACGACATTTAATCTATTGATTCGTGTTCAACAACACGATTTCCCCCTTTTTTTCGTGTCACACAGA